AATTATTGTTCGTAGCTTCTTTGTAGTAGTGACGCTTAGGAGATGGAGAACCAACAACTAGCAGATTCGACTTAAGAGCCTTCATTTGCTGACCTGTCGGACAAGATATTACGATTGTCACAACCTTCAAGACGATGCAATCAAGATGAAGATCTTCAAGAACGACATGTTCTTCCTCGAATAGATGGCGAGATACAACGCGTTTGGTATCACAATTTGGGAAGGGACTCTCGATGTTTGGTGATTGTGTTAGAGGTAGGAACAACTCCTGATGGTGTTCCAAATATTCTATTCGAAGGAACTTATGAAGGCCTCAATAATGATCAAATAACTGGGTGGTCTTCCCGCCCTGATATGGGACACTATCAATGGTTGAGAGGCCCTATCAATCATCTTCGAAGAGAACAAAGATCAGAGTATGTGGCGAATATAATTTGTCGCATCATAGATTTCTTCAACATATGATGACCGCTCTTCGTGGAACTCGTTCCTAAAATGGGGGGATAATATCACCGATATAATCATGTAAGCTAGTAATTATATATACAAATAGGTAGAAGTAAATAAAAGTAAGTAAAAGTAAGTTAATTCTATAGTATTTAATATGGAAGCTTCTTAGAAGCTTCATAGATGATGCTTTGACTTCATAGGTGTCTTTAATTGACTTTTTGGATTAGAAACATGGTCAACAAGTTGGCCATGTGCTACACATGTTGTTAGCTTGAAGATCAAGCTAACTATGTGGCCCACACGTAGAAAAACTTACCTTGTAAGTCAAGGCATGTGTCCTACAAAGTCAACACATATTAGAGGTCCTGTAGAATGTCGCCACGTAGCCCCTAGTTAGATAGTATATATAGAGACCAGAGTAAAGGCTTCTTCACTCTTGTCAACTCTTTCCTTGCTTCTAGTCTAGTTTCAAGTGTCTCTAGTTTTCTTGTCTTTTGGCAATAGCCATTCCAGTTTCTCTTTCAATATATATACTTGTTAATATATATTTTGTTACCTCTCCTTGAGTGAAGGCTCACCTGTCTGAATTATTTTTTCATCGAGTTCTTGTCCTTGACACTTCCTATACTTTTGGTGATGTGTATTTTTAAGGCAGCTTCAAAACTTGAATATATATAAAAATAAATAAATAAATAAATAAATAAAATATGTGCTATCTTCAAATCTCAACAATGTATTGAATTCGTGATTTTAAAGAGAATTTTTTATTCAAGAAAGTTTAAGGTTTTTTAAAAAATTATATTCTTTTAAATAATTGTAGAATGATTTATATTTTTAATCGTTTGCAATGTTAAAATTTGGTCATAAAATACCAAAAATAATATATTTTTTTAACTATTCAAATATAGATTTGAACATGTTTTATAATTTAATATCAAAATTCTAATTATCTTTGATAATAACATATGTAATTTTATCTAAAGTTTTTGTACCACTTAATGTTATGTTTATTATTACTATTGTTGTTGTCAAATTATATTTTGATATTGTTTAAAATGCTTTCAAACATAAATAAATAAAAACATTAAAAGGTCTCTTATTATACAAATGAATATTATTAAAATCCTTAAAATATAATTATAGATTTATCACATTGTCGTATTGCATGAAGTTTGGCTTAAGAATGCACTAGACACCTGGCTGTGGAAGATAAAAAAAAATTGCAATAAGTCCTAACAACTCTAATAGATTCTTAAATAAATTATAATTAAAGATTAGCAAACATAATCAAACATCAATCAAATTCAATTAAAATTTCAAAGAAATTATATAAGAAACACAAAGAATTATTAGAGATCCTATAAAGAAATTATAAAGAAATTATATAGAAATCCAAAAAATATATATTAATATAGAAATCTTAATAAAATATTAAAATAAAAACCTTAATTAAATCCTAGTCAAAATCTAATCAAACCTTAATCAAACCTTAGTCAAACCTTAATCAAATCTTTATCAAATCTTAGTCAATTCCTAAATAAGCCTTAACCAAATCATAGATAAATTCTAGTCAAATCCTAGTCAAATCCTAATCAAATCTTAAATCCTAAATCCTAAAATTCTAATCAAATCCTAATCAAATCCTAAATAAATCCTAATAAAATCCTAAATAAATCTTAGTCAAAACTTAGACAAATCCTAAATAAGTCCTAATCAAACCCTATTCAAATTCTAATCAAATCCTAAACAAATTCCAACCAAATCCTAATCAAATCCTAAATAAATCTTAATCAAATCCTAAGTAAATCCTAACCAAATCCTAATCAAACCCTAGTCAAATCCTAAATAAACCCTAAATAAGTCCTAACCTAAACCGAATCCTAATCCTAACCAAACCTTAAATCAATCCAAAACCCTAATCCTAATCTTAATCCAAATCCTTAACCGAATTCCAATCAATCTCAAGTCATTCCTATAGCAAATTTAAACCTTAATAACTAATGAATAAACTATCGATTTTAACTAAAATTTAGCACACCTCTTAACAATTGAATTGAAAATAAGTATAAAAAAAAAATGAAAATGATTGGAATTACCAAATAGACAATAACCTCAAAACTATGGTCGGGTGTCTGCCAACCTCCTTCTCCAACCATGATGCCAATCTTCCAAAGCCAATTATTCCTAATTTAACTATTACTTTGCTTCCAAACTTTACACACTTGTTGGAAATCAAGCTGACTACTTCTATGAAAAAAAAATTACATCAACCAACAAATTGACAAATATCTAAGAAAACCTAAATGGTCCTTAAAACCCTGAATTCTAAGACCATAACCTACAAAAACCTTCATGCTTTTCAACCTAACCGTTCGATCAAATCCAAATTCATAGCATACATCAAGTACTACACCCACAAAGTCAAAAAAATTCACCCATAGATCTATTATTAAACTCTTGAAATTTCTCAAAACGTCAACCCTATTTTATTTTCCAAAAACCAAAGTCACTGAAAACAACATTGACTTTGCAAAGCTCTTACAAAGTCATCATCAAACCAAATCCCTCAAAATCAACATTTATAGAAACTCTATCAAGTCTCCTCTCCAATCCTATTCTCCAATCAACCAAAAGAATCCTAGAATTTTTGTTGAGGCTTGATTTTGTGCCTCGGGGTCTGATTTAGACCCTAGTTGGTTACCGGTCTTCTCCAGGTATCAATTTTTATTTTTTTTGAAGTAAATTCTGCTAAAACCAACTCTTCATTCCCTCTTATATATGCCTATATCTTTTATTTTTCTAATCTGTCTTATTTTGCCTTATTTATATCCCTACAAAGTAAGTAGAAGCTACTTTTCTAAAAAGTAGCATTACTACTAAAAGTTTTACTACCTTCCTATCTTTTATCCATATTTTTCTACCTTATCTTTTAACTTGGCTCTCCTATAATAAGATCCATATTATTATCTTTCACCATATATTTGTGTTATAACACAACAATCTAATAATATATATTAAATTAAATTATATATATATAGATATATATATATAAAATAAAGAATCCATTAAGAAATCAAACTTATTCAATTTGAAGAATTGATTTTAAAATTAATTAAAAGGGCATCAAATTTTTATTTTATATAAAATGGAGGTTATAATATTCAACACATTTTTATACAAAATTGCTGCATTTATGTGTTATCAAACATAAATAATAATAATAATAATAATAATTAATTAATTAAAAAAAGAAAATGTTTGACAAAGGCACTTGTCACCTATGGGTGGGAGCAAAGAATCTTTCTTAATAGTAGCATGATGCGTAACATCCACATCTTTTATATATTTGTCTTTTTGATAGATTAGTATATAACTTCTCCTGAAAAGAAAGAAGCCACAAGTTGGTAGTGGCTTAAAATGAGATGGCATCAATCCTCTGGAATACTCAATCCAAAAAAAATAAAACACAAAAACATAAAAATATATACATAGTTTCAATTAATGAACATGAAGGAAAAATAAAAATAAAAATAAAATACAATTGTTTGGTCATTTCAATGTGAATTTTAAAAACATGCAAAAACATGTGCCTAATAGATAATTACATGCCACCAAAGAATAAATGTGGTAAAAAGATTATTAGTTACTATTCAATATAGTTAGAAATTGATTGTGCTCATAGATTATATAATGTGTATATATAGGATATTGTTGATGTTGCCACAATTTTTTGCTATTGCCACCACAACTTACCATCTACCATACATGTATCTGCCACACATACAGTCTTTATGGATTTATATTTTAAAGTTCCACAAAGTAAATTGTGGTGTGCACCAAATTTAGGACAAATTATGGTGACAATAGCAAAAACTGCTGTGGCGATATCAATTACTTATACATCTATATGTGATTTCAATTGAAGCAAAGTGGACAAAGTCTCATTCTTCGTCATTACAGCTAATCAATTCTTATTTATCCACTTCGAATAAATAGGCTTCTACACACACAACTTGAAAAGAACTCCATTTTAAGTTGTATCAAAAGTATCACTTACAGCCATCAACTTCTGGGATCAATTCATTGATTTTCCAGGTGGCCTTTGATGTCATGCAAGTATGCTATCCCTTGGAATTGGTGCTTGCTGAACGTGCAGACATACTAATTCTGCTTTTAATCTAGACCTGCGACACTTCTTTGTTCATTAGCAGACTCAGCAAAGCCTCTCTACCCACTATTACTAAATTCTGCAATTAACATTTCTCACTCATAGTTGAAAGAAGTTGAGTGGCACATCGCTTGTAAACAGTCCAAGAAGAGACTGCAGCAACTTGAAAGTGGCGTTGAGCCAAGATGTCTACCGACACTCTAGGTCATGGTATCTTCGAGTGCCATGCTGCGAGTCCTAAAAAGGCTAGCGAAGGAACTAAAAGAAATGGAGGCTTGAATGGCAGTGTAAAAGAAATACAAATCAGAAAGCAACGTTTAAGTACTAAGCTTCTAGTCTCAAAAAGAGCTTCGGGAAGTAGAATAGTAAAAGGACTTAGGTGTGGCGAAGGGCACCGTGATAAATAAAAACTTCATTAAGATAAACCACACAGTACGTTGGGCATACTTTTCAAGCAAAAGTTTTACACGAAACGTATTACTCACAAGTACACTACTTGCATTAGCTCTAGGAAAGACAAGAAGTTGAGCTTGGGATTCATGCATTGCACTTCATTGATACTCATTTCAAAACTGTGTAGCTTGCGCCAGAATGCTGCAATGGCACCTACAAAGAACTTGCAGGGGATTTGCAATAGCTTTCGTTACCTAGTTCCTACTTGGCAGTTTCCTGCTTGGAGGCTTCTTCGAAAGACTCTCCTTCTACTAACTCCGGCACATCATCGTCTTCCTCCTCTGCAATTCCTCCGAGATTATCCTTTTTCTGGTACTGCTCAGCAAGCTTCTTCAATTGCGCTAAGTTCATCTTTTCAGGTCCTAGCTGATTAATGATACTGGGCAAGATATCTTGAAGCTTCTTCGTCTGAGAAGGTCCACTCACCACCCACGTGTTGGCAGCAATAGAGGCTTGCACTGCACACATATCAGTTGGGGCGGTTGATAAGCACACTCAAATGTCTGGTGTAAGGATGTACATCTGAAGCGAACTTTTATAATCTCTCCCAAGGTCACAAAAACCAGTCAAATTTCAAGGGAATGCATACCTTTGGGGTTAACGAAGTGGATGACGGATTCATCCTGGAAGATGTTAACCTCTTCAATTCCGGGAATGGTGTTCACTCCGAGTCGCTTCAAGGTGCTCTGCAACCTCTTGTCGTCAGTGGTGGTGGTCTTGTGAACAGCTTTCTTCTTCCTGTTCAGCCAATTGAAATTGACAAGGGTAGACCACATAGGGCACATGAGACTAGGGAAACTCCCAGAGCCTCACAAAGCAGTACAAAGTAGCAGACGAATCTTAGAGCTGAAAACTAATCTGAGACAAGACTAAGCGCGGTTCTTGGATGTGAATAAAAAAATGCACACCTAAGCACAAGAGTTTCATGGACCGGATCATAACGAAGGGCATAGTCATCACTCACCTCCTGACACTGCCCTTTCCACCAGTGCGAACTGCACTAGCCATCTTCATCAGCTTCTCCCTGTTCATCTGATATGCCATTCGTTCACAGTAATTCCACATCATGAATTAATACTTTGATCACGAGTATTCTTAATGAGTTTCCTCCAAATCGACGTCAAACGCTTCTAAGTAGACATAGGTTCATCGCATGCTATATCCTGGCTTCCGAACGTGCTGAGTGTCTTGAACGGAGAAACCCCCATAAAAACGCGCTCGTTGCAGTTTAACATTGCAGCAGTGAATGAACGATTAAAGGACTGCCCCAAAGATGCAAGGAGATTTCCACCTAGAAGTCGAAGCACACAGAAAGTTCGTAGCTCAATCGACAAAAACCAAATCGATTCACTCAGGAAAATAAGATCCCTCGTAAACCCCGTATATATATATATATATATATATATATATATATATATATATATATATAATAAACCAGACAAATCTATAAAGAAACGGTGACAGAATTACGACCCATAGCAGCTCCACTACCAATTCCAAAACGCAGGGATACACCCGAAGACGAATTCCACAATTCTTCTACTCACTGAAATCCCCGTGGGTATAATCTGCACCTTTCATACAAAAAAAAAAAAAAAAAAGCCTTCACAGAAACAGAATGAAAAATTGACAGCGCCATTACGCTCCTCTAGGCATCACAAAAAAAACACCAGAGCTTCAAGTCTTCAAAAACAACAATTCAAGACTCAATATCCACCCAACCCCCAGACTTACCCATGCCCACACAAACCCTAAAATGGAACAACCTTCCAAACCCCAGAACTCCCAACTCCTGACGAAAAAATAATAATAATAATAATAATAACAAAAGAAAAAAAAAAAAAAAAAAAAAAAAAAAAAAAGGCGGAGCAGTAGCGACTCCACGAGTACGAAGGCATTAGCACACAGCACACGCACCTTGGAAAGCTGTTGAGGACCCGGGGGTGGGAGTGAAGATGAGCAGAGCTTGGATCTTCTCACGAGACTTACACGCACACTGAGTGGAAAGGGCTCATTCTAGGGTGAAGCTCGGGTCCTCACTGCCGCAACGGGGGACGCGGGTATCCATGCCCGCGGCAGCCCTTCTCCCCGCGTTCACCGTCCTTCTCGCGGTTACAGGATCAGTACTTCCATCCATCCGACGAGAACTGGCGTTCCGTTCCCTTTCATCAAATTCATTCCCACACATCCTTTGGTTTAAATTGCCAATCCATTGTATTTCACTAAAGTGTTTGCTTTTACGGAATTTTTTTTTGCAAACTGAAAATTAATCTTAAATTTTATGTTACTAATATTAGCATGTGCCCCTAATAAAATTTTATTGAGAAATTTACTGATAATTATTACTCTTAATACAAATCTTGAATTGAACTACTTTGGTTTTTTACATGAAGTATCATAAAAATTGTCTATATTATAATTTATTCTATATAATAATGAAGTATTTTAAAATAAGTTTAAGCACTTTATTTTTCATCCCAAATCAAATTTATCAAATTTTTCAATTAATATTTTTATATGTACATAGTTTTATTCTTTATTCTTGTATATTTATGTAGGGGAATGTTAGATATGCCCAAGTTTTTCCTAAATCAACCTACCCATCCAAAACACTATGAAAAAAATAAAAAATGAAAATAAAAATGAAATCTAGATTCATTTCTCTAGTATTGGATCTGCAACCAATAAAAATCAACCACATTCATCATGATTACCATATTCTTCATCAAAAATGGGTCTATTCGGTAAAAGCATGGATCTATTTAATATTCTCTTTTATCTATTTCTTTCTAAATATCTACATAAGTTTATAATATGGATTTTATTTTTACTTGAAACTAAGAATATAAATAAATTCTTTGTAACTTAATAATAAAAAATTAATATGTACATAACATTAACCATTTGAATATATGCATAAATTTTTATATGTTATTATTATTATTTTAATATAATAAATTAAGAGAAATTTTAAATAGACCAATGATTTTACTAAAATCAACCCACCTTTGATGAAGAATTGGTAATCATGATAAATATGGTTGATTTTCTTTGGTTGCAAATCTAATAGTGGAGAAATAAATCTAGAAGTAAATTTGTTTTTTTCATAATAGTTAGGATGAGAGGGTTAATTTAATAAAAACTTGGATCTATTTAAAATTCTTCTAAATTAATTGTTAATTAAATAAACATACAAAATTTTATGAGTTTTAAATGCTTTAATTTTTTTAGAACAAAGAGCAATTAAAAATGATAGCTTTAATTGTGGCAACTTATAAGTATGTAATTTTTTATTTTATTTTATTTTATTTTTTGTATTTTTTGTGTATCATTATTAGTACTATTATTATTGTGTACATCAATAGATTATAAGACTACATCTTCTTTCAATCCAAGGTGATAGTTAGTTATTATTATACACTAAATTAATGGATAATATTTACTCATTTTATAAAATAACTACATTTAGCATGTCTTGCAAATATTTTATGTACTAATTAGATCATTTTTATATTAAAAAAAAAAAAAAAAAAAAAATTGTAAATTTAAAAATTTTATATAAGTATAAAAAAGTATTAAAAATTAAAGATAGTATCTTAATAGTTGGATAATTAACTCAAAGAATTTAAATAAATACCCATACTAAATAAAGAATATTCTATCAATTAAAAAATTTCAATATAAATTATTTATATTTAGAAACATTATAAGATTTTTTTTAACAAAATGATAAAAAGAATAAGTATTTTTGCAAATTAATCAAACTTATATTTAAAAGGCATAAGCTTCAATATTTTGTAAAAAATCAAATCCAATTCATTTGATGAATAAAAATAAAATTCCATAAAAAATCATAGCTTTGAGTAAAATATTATAATATCACTGAAACCTCTTATAAAAAGAAACTCTATTCTTATAAAAATAAATTTAAACTATTATAACTGTGTACTCTCTTTTGTTGAAAGAATGGATTTTGGTATTCCACATTGTAAAAACTAAAATTAGAAAATAATTGCAACAATTGTGGCCAAATTGCAAAGGTAGCCTAATTTCCAGAATAAATATAAAGCCAAAAGCACACAAAAGATATTTTAAAAAATAAAAATGGAATAAAGAAAAAAAATGGTAAATATAAAAGAGATGAGTATATATTTTTGGCTCATGGAAAAAGGACAATGAGTGTAACATGCAAGAACTTGTCTCATTGATCACTACAAAGCAAAGGGTTTTGCACAAAAAAAAAGTTGTTACTTACAAACTATTATAAAAAGATGAGTGTTGGTGAAGAAAAACAATATTATAGTTGAAGCTATTTGATCTAAATCCGAATCATGTAAAAAACTCTTGTAAAGAGTAAGTCCAAGTAAAATTGGTTTTTTGATGTTTAAGGATGTTTTTATAGTTATATACTATTTTTTTCTAATTCATTTGGATTGATTACAATTTTGTGTGCCTTATTAATATAGAATAAATAATTCAATTCCCTAAATTTGAGTTGACAAAAACTCAAGCAATTGCAATCTAGTTGGAGGAATTACAAATATCCCTAATATTAGTAAAATCATCATTAGTTAATCATCTTTCATCCGAGAGAAAACCTCAACCTGTTTTGGGTTCAAAGCTACTCAGGCAACTTCTTTTTGGGTTAAAGAGGTTAGACTCATTGTGATCAATAAAATCACCCCATTAATACTGCATGAATGATAATATTCAATTATCTATTATGGACTTAACCGATAAGCTTTAGAATAGCATTATACTCTCACATGGTTTGTAAATACGGTGGTGACATGATAGTTCAACTGGGTTCAAGTTTAAAATCATGGCTACATACAGTGCAATCTTGTTTCGTTCAGAGATTCACAAAATCATGATAAAGCATCCTAAGAATATACAACTTGATTTATATTCCTGATGCACAAGCCATGTCCCAGAATACTGTCATTAAAAATCATGCTCACTAATGTTCCCAAATATCTAAATAGCATCACCCTCATATCACCACCCTGTCAGTCTGATTGGGTATATGGCGCAGCCGAGACATGACTATCATGTTTAAAACAGCATATATTAAGTAGATGGCAATTGCCTCATTCCAGTATCAATTGAACATCTCTCCACACCACCTGCCTTTGTCTACTGCTCTCATCCAGCCTGTATCACAGAGATGAAAGGTTCTCATAACTTCGATTCAATGCGAAGGCTCTATTGGGGATCATGTCTAGGAAAAATTCAAGATACTGAACAAATTATGTGTCATATGATCAAGCGTCTACAATTGGTAGCCACGACCTGAAATGCTTCATATCTTTTAGTCATTGACACAATGGTGTCAGATAAATAAAAAAAAAAATGCAGCAATTTAAACAGCTGAAAATAGAGACTTTCAGCAACAAGAGATTGCAAGGCTCCAAACCATGCACAGAAGTGCAACTTAATCCCACTGGAGAATTCGAAGACAAGCTAGAGTTGACTTTCCAATGAATTGAATCAAGATGGTAGACAACCATCTTTTTCTTATCTCTGCAAATTCCAAGGAGGATTCAAATTACGCATCTCATGGTATCCAGGAGGACCTCTTGGAGTGGTGAGAAGAGAAGGAGAAGCTCCTTGTTGCGCTGCAATGTGACCAGCTCCCGGAGACGCGCCCTGCGGCATATGACCATGGTGCCCATGCACAGATGGAGAAACTCCATAACCACCAAACCCAGGGGGGCCATTAGAAACTCCATTGCCAGGTCCTGCAGGACCTCCTCCTCCTAAAATGGGGCTCATGTGAGAATGACCTGCAGCTGCCGCAGCAGCCGCAACCTTTTGGGCGTGTAATGCATGTGCTGCATGCTGCATTGCCTGCAACACATCAAAACAAAAAATTATTTACTTAAATGAACAAACTTCATCAACTTTCAGTTGATTACGACAATACCACCAAAGTTCGTGACAAGTATCAGCAAGGCAAAACACTGACATACAACACTCGGTAAACGCAGTAGAGAAAGAATCAGTTGTTTCATAATACATCACAAACAAGAAAGAAAGAAAGAAAAGAAACAAATTATGTATTTAAAAGAAAGGACATAGACCAGCTACTGCAGAATGAAATGAATGAAACAAAATATCAAAAGCCAGTACAATTGCTAACCATTTGGTGCGGATATGGCCGGTTGACAAGTGACATAAACCCAGTGCCTGGAGATATTGTACCCGCTAATGCTGCTGCAGCAGCTGAATTTGGAGAAGGGAGACCCAATCCCTGTGGATAATAATTACCCCGTGAAGATCCACCCTGCAACACAAGCACAAAGGTGTCTCACACTTGCTACCTGATTAAGGCAACAGAGATCGCCAACAAACTTCCATAAGAAGCAGGAGACCAAGAAATGCAATCATAGGAACGATAAGCTTATACAAATCCTCAGCTTACTAGAACAATTGTCTTAGTATCAAGCCTCCACCTCGAACTTAACAAGTACTCGTTCACGGAAATAAATTAAAATAGTATCACCTTCAAATACCTGGTTCAAGTGTTGTGGCTGTCTGCCCAGTAACGGACCCAAAGCTGGAGTTGATCCATGAGGGGGATGTGTTCCATGGCTTGCGGACTGTGATGCAATCGTTGTATGGGCTGATGGTGGACTTGGTGTCCTTGCATACTCCAATTCCCCTTCCTCAAGATCAGTTGAAGCCTGGACTTCAGCACCACTCGCAACGGCAGTCTCCGACTGCACGATCGGGGCAGCAGCTACATCAGCACAAATAGAAGCTGCCTGAGAAGTAGCCGGAGGCCCAGGTGCAGGTGGTGATTGTGACGCATTCTGAACCTTCTTCTTTGACTCCTCTTCACTGCTTAACACCTGAACGACCCGTGAAGTGTTAAGTTGACGCCCAAGCTTGTGAGACCGAATCTGTGAATGACCTGACGCACTATGCACATCTACTTTATGTGAGACTTCAGCGCCGCTTGCAATAGCGATCTCTGATTGCACGATAGGCGCAGCAGGCAAGTCAGTACTACTTGGGATATCTTGAGACGCAGATGAGGGCCCCGGAGCAGATGGAGACTGTGATGCACTCAGAACCTTTTTCTTTGACACCTTCTCAGTGCTCAACACCTGAACAAACCGGAACATGTTAAGACGGCATCCAAATATTTGGCAAAGACCCCGTGAATAAAATGCTGCATCATGCACCTACATTACACACCAGGAACACATCTCACTGTGTTTAGAATCAGCTGTGGCAGGGGATTTCTATGCCATGGGACAAATTCAAATTATGTTTAGTAAGACCTGCTTCAACATTTGTACAAGGTGGTGCTTTTCTGCGGTTAGTTTCTCGAGCTTCGCCTCCAACTCTGCTTTCTTGCCACCTCCTGCGTCTGTTTTTTCCCTAGCCTCTTCAGCGAGGTCCCTTCCTATCACCTGAGAAACACGTTTTCGGAACAAAGCTCAAAAATCAAACTACTGGTGATCTAAAATCAAGAGATAAATACTTAAAACTCATACGATGGTCAACTAATGATAACAGTATCAACAACAGCAGCAAAGTTTTCTAATGACTTCCACTAAAGCACAAGACACTAACAAGCACAAGGCAATCGAGGCCAGAAACAAAACCAACATGAAAGGTGACAAAATCACTCACAGGCTTTCCAAAATTTAACTCCTCGGAATGTACGGGTGGTGTAGAAGGTGCTTCCACTCTCACAAAATCTCCTTGTTCAACATCATTCACTTCTATCTGACCATCATCCTCTTCCACAGCCAATCCTAGATTAGCATCGGATCCCTCTTTTTTAGTGTTTTCGATTTCACTGTTATCCCCAATCCCAACCACTTTATCCACAACCTTTTGGTCCAATTCCATCTCCTCACCTGCTCCTGTTGAGTCAAGCGCCATGGGCTCAACGGCGACAGGCGTACCACCCACTAAAACCTCCTCATCAACCTTCACCTTCACCTTACCCTTCCTCACATCAACAAGAGAAGTTTCCTCTCGTTTTCTCTTCTTTCTTTCTTTCCTATCCATGTCTTCTTCCAAATCTGCAGGTTCATCGCTCTCTAGTTTAGTTTCGAATTGCAGTTCATTGTCATCAGAGGACTGACCTCTTGATAGAAGCCGATCAGAAGAATCTTCCGCAGTTGCACATAAGTCCCTGTATCCCTCCCCTTCGCAGCCCCCATGTCGAGTCTTTCCTCCATACTTACTCCTGTCTTCCCCATCCTCTGCCTCCTCAGGAATATCCTCGTCCATGTAATCTGATTTCACTAGACCGTCGCTCTCTCCACGCCCTTCTTGTCCAATATCCGTCTCTGGATCATCTCTGGGCCCTTCTCTCGCATGAACATGTGAGGGTGAAACATTGTGGGAGCCAGAGACGCAAGTGTCTTGGCGCGTCAAACAGGGAGTCGGAAAGTCAGAGGTTAGCGAGCTACTGCGCAGAGCGTCATTTCGTTTCTCGAGCGCCTGCCTAAATGCAGATAGCGAGATGGTCGGTTTTGGGATTGACCACTGGCGCGTGATCCCAGAAACCTTGTGGAGTTCACCCCTGTACAGAAAAATCATTGCTCCTGCTCTCTAAACTTTCTCCGCAGCTTCCAGATTCAACGACCTTAAAAACCCTAATTTCTCAAACACATCCAACCACGCAGTTTCTGAATAATGGCATAAAACTGAGAAAATTTCGTAAACATGTAGCAAACGCAGAAGTATGACGAGGCTCAAACTGCCAAAAGTTTAATAACAAATCAGTGCCAAGCACAGGTATTGCAGAGGTGCGGAGAGAAGTCCAAAATTCCAACAACAAAGGCCAAATAAATAGAAACACATGCAGACGTGCTACCCGACCGCCACCTCTCTCAAACGAGAAATCCACTCGTGACTACAGTCAAATCGTTGAACAAACCCAAACAGCAGACAATTCCTCTTCATACGAACCCATGGGCTTCCGCACTCCAAAAGTGAAACCCAATAATAATCCCCCCCATCATTGAATTGAACTCTGAACAGCAAAACAACTTTACAGCTCCCTGAACTCACCGCGCCAACACATAACCGCTCTCCACGTTTCACTTCCTCAAGCTAACTTTCGCAGCAATCTTCACCGGAAAGCTCGCTCCGCAGAAAGGAATGTCACACGTCCCACAATCCTGTGTCAAAATCTGGAGATACCCACCTGAGAAGGAAAAGGAAGGTGAATTTCGTATACATCCAGCAGTCTGCGCAGAGATGATTGCAAGCAAGAGGGATAGGAGCGAGATTTGTCGGCGCGCGGACAACTGCTAAGGCACTGAGAGGACTCGGGAGGCAGAGATGACGAAGGTCAGCGCTTCATCTCGGCTTGTCATCCGCTCGTCAGTTTTGACCGGAATGGTCGCCGAAGATCTAACCTTCATTGAAAACTTTCGTCCAAATGTGGATGGGTTGTGGCGTAAGTCGATTTCCTTCAGAGTTACTAAACCCTAAAACCCCATCATGTTCATCTGCGATCCGTGTGCGAAGAGAGTGACAATAGAAATTGTAGTTGCTGACATGGGTCTTTGGATGGGTATGCGAGCTCTGCAGAAAAGTACCGATTCTCTGAGATGTATAAGAACCGTTCTTCAGGACTGGATATGATGCATTGAAGAATGTTCAGTGCTACCATGGAGGCAATGGAGGTAGAGTCTGAGCATGTGAGCTCTGTCGAGGGGAAATTGAGGTTTCATGGGGAGGATGATGATCTGGCTAGGATACTTCAAGAGCAGCTCTCACTTTTGGAGCATTCAGAGCCTGAAGTTCGTAGGGAGGCTCTTGTTTCGATTTCTTCACACTTAGATTTGACGAGAGAGGTGAAAACGAGGAGGGAGATTCTGCATTGTTTGCAAGCTCAGCTTTGGAAGGAGGACGACCCTTTTCTTGTGCATAACGTGGTGAAAGTTTTAGTTGATGTGGCCCTCGTGCCGCTTTGTGCGTACCCTCCGGCGATTGCTGCCTCCGGTCATCGGCAAATATGCACATGTTCAAAAAGGATTTCAGAAAATGGGATAATGTGTAGGTCGTGTGGGAAGAGTGCGGATATGCAAACGAGAGATGGGTTGGTTTCGTCCACCACATCCCCTCTACAACGCGAAGCTCACGATAGGCTCGATTTGAAGGCTGAGGGAGGGAAGTGGGTTTCTCGAATGGAGGGTCTTATTGATTATAAATTTGCGATTGCTAAATTGGTGGTGCAACTGCTCCATGCATATCTTGCCACGAAAGATCAGGTGGAATTGAAGTTGAAAAGCGCTGTGCGATTACAGCTTCTGCATTCCCTGCTTAAAATCTCCGAAAAGATTGATGGCATTGTGACGTGGGAGTCACTTGGATTTGTGGTTAGACGGCATCTTAGAAGCAGTCAACCTCGCGTGCGGGCATTAGTGCTGCGATTGCTTGTTGAGAGCGTACCGGAACTGAATAATCCCCTCTCAGAAAATGTTGCTGAGGCAGAAGAAGGTGCCAAGAGGAGGCGTGTCGGGGACCACTTCCCTGGAAGAGTTCGAGAAGCTGAGAATGCTGTGCAGAGAACTACAGATTTAGGAATGAAGCCGGATGATCTCTTGCCGAACTTGACCAACAAATTTGTTGAACAGGAGACGAAGCACCAAGGTGTCAATAGTAGTCGTCCTGGGCTTGGTGTATCGTGCTCGAAGGCAGGGGAGACCCTTCTTTCTTCATTTTTGAGTTACGTGAGGGATCCGTTTCCATCTGTGAGAGAGGCAGCTCTAAGGGCTCTGATGAAGCTCCACGGCAAAGGATACGAATTGACCAGTGAATGCTGCAAAGTTGCCATTAACTTATTTAGGGATTCATTCGAAAATGTGCGCATAGCTGCAATCGAAATGGTAAGTTCCTGCTTCTTCTTCTTCTTCTATCGTCGTTACTAATGCTATTATCATTACTATTATTATTACTATTATTGTTATGATATTGCGTCAACACTTGATTTGTACGCTTGTTATTTTTCTCTTGTTGGCTAACTGGGCTTAGATCGCTTCACCGTCATACTATGATTTAGCACTCTGCATAAACTCTAATCTACTGAAGCAAGTGCCATATTATTACTATTTAATACAACATCTCGAGTTGTAAATAATACAACATACTTTTGGCAGGTAGGGCTATGGATGAGGAGTTACTCAGATATGAGAAATGGTTCGTCGTCAAAGCAGCGCACGGAAGCATTCTTACAGGTACCTCTTAAAGGCAATATTGTGGAGTCTCTGAAAATCGTTGAGACCTGGATTGGTGGTGGCTGCACTTCTCTCATTGGGAAACCTTTTGTCAAAGACTCATCATTCTGGAGAAATCATGATGCAAATCAGATGATGAATTGTGATCGAGATAGCAAATGTCTGGTACCAGTTTTATGCTGTACTTGAGAATACCTACATGTTCGAACCAGCACAGATGTTCTCTTAGAGCTGAGAATGACAATGAGAAGTTACTTGGGTTTTAATTTGACAGTTCAATACATTTTCAGTTAGGAAGAGTTTGTAAAATGCAGTTGTTTTTTTCTTGCTGGTGATAAGTGAAGTCTGGTTGGGTTATCCTTCATGAAGGAGTACGCGATGTCTTTTGTTTTTGGTTTTTTACAGATACTTTAGGTATGGAGATGTCAAGGTTTTTTATTGGAAATACTTGTTCTCTTAGGTTTGCACCACCGTCACAGACATGAATATGCGCGTAAGGGAAGCGGCTTTCCGTGTACTTGGCGAGGCAGCCAAGGTACCTGAGAGCGTGTTGCTTCAAACTTTGACCAAGAAGGTAGCGAAGGCTCCTAAAGAAACAAATGTCTCAGCATCTGTGTCGTCAGTGTCACAAGATGGTGATACCGATACCGACTTCTCCAAGTTTGAGGACAGTACAAACCTGCTGGATGCGAGTGCTGCTGGTGCATTTGTGCATGGACTTGAAGACGAATATCTTGAGGTGAATTATGTTACAACTCTTCAACAACGTTTATTGTTGATGACAATGTTGCTCACAAGTAATTAGTGTTTCGTGGTTTTTACAGTACAGCATTTATCAAACCGTGCCTTGTTTGCTTGTTAGAAATGGACGACGTAGAAGGTAATATTGCGTTTGTATATCGTTTATGAATCTTCGTGACAGCCTGGCCTTATCGTCCTTTACCAGGTACGATGTGCGGCAATAGAGGCTCTGGCAAAACTCGCTTGCAAATGTGAGAAGATGGCTTCTGGTGCAGCGAATCTTCTGCTTGATATGCTGAACGAAGAGGTGGAGATTGTGCGAATGCAGGCAATGCATGCACTTTCACAGCTTGCAACTGCAGGTTACCTGTCCGTCAATGATCAACACCTTCATCTGGTGAGAGCTAGGATTATCGCTATAAGAGTTCCAACCTAAAATTTTGACATGAATTGTATATTAATAATTGTGTGTGCATACTACTTCATTGTCAACTGTTGCTTTGGATCTTTGCCGAGCAGTTTTTAGGTGTGGTGAAGGATATAAATCCAGAGATGCGAAAAGGTGGCTGCAACTTACTTTCTACTTCCCAACTGCCGAGCTTCAGCATTTTTCATTCAGTGGTTTGCACGCTCCTTACCAGTTTAGAGCACCATCCTGAGGTCTGTTGGATATCTCCTCTCCTTTCTTTATTCTACATGTACAGAATGGAAACTTGTTTCGTCCTAATGCAACTAAATGTTTTACATGGAGCTCTCAAAAGTCCTCTCTTTTTGAAGCGACTTGTTTTAGACATCATTGTGGAATTTGTTTGCATGGTTTATGCAGCTTATATCACGAATTCAATGTCTATCTCCCGCAGGATGAAGACTTTGTGATTAGCACTTTTAGCGATTTGGGTCAGAGTCATCCTACTTACACTGAATGCATTGTTGAAGAGTTGATCCAGAAGGTATGTGCTTTTAAACGTTTCTGATCATATTTTTTCTCTCAAGAAACAGACAGGATGAAATTAACTGCAGGGATTTTGTTCTGAATCAAATTTTGACATATAATGATTTTGTTTCTATTTTTATATCTACTGCCTCATGTAATGGTTTGATTGGACGGGATCGCTGGTATTTTTTGTGGACATTTCCCATCTTTCTATGGAAAAGCTTACGGTTCCTTCAGTTTAGATCACTTTTCACTTTCATTTTTGACATTGTCGCTCATATTTTCTAATACGGTTCCCTTTGGTTCTAATGAGAGTCTTCTTATAATATGTATAGAACGGCTCTGCAGACACTGCCCTTGTGTTTATGTCAACAATGATTGTTATTGAGGCAGCACTTTGTCATTGTCATGCACAGATGCAAGGATATCTTAATGAAGAAATTGGACTTGATGAGCCCCGATTTGCAGCAGTTTTATCACTTTTCCTGGGCGCTGCACTTTCTAATTCCAACATTGTCTCACTCATACCCGCAAGGTTACTATCCTATGCCAGCTTTATCAGGCATAAAATCCCTGACAACCTTCCATCGTTCAATCTGCGGCCAGTAGCCTTGAAGTCTGTCCAGTTTTCATGGTCAAATAGTGAAAAGCATCCAATGACTGTTCCCTTCCAATCTTGGCGACGAGCCCTCCATATACCAAACCCTGTTGCCAAACGACATAACTTATGAGGAACTGTGCAGTGCAACTTGTGGGGTTGCTTAGACAAGTAGCAACTAAGTAGCTTGATTCTTTAGTTTTTGTAAATATGTCAATCGTGCCAAGCAAGCCACATCATAGTTGTAACAATGAGTTACATTTTCAAAGACAACATTGTGGTGTTGGATTATTTTGTAAAATTACTTTTACTTTAGATGAAAGGTACTGGAGAATTTGTTTCATGTCATCAAATTTTGAAGTGATTAGTTTCTAAGGCTTAAAAGAAAAAATATTGAGTAGAAACATGCACACTATTTGAAAATTATTTAAATTATTTATAACAATTATGTTTTGGTCTTTGATATGTTTAATATTCTCTTAGGAAGACTTAAGTTTTAAAATGTAAAATGAGTAGACAATACATATATTCTCAGCAAATTAACAACCATTCTACTTCAAATGTTTGAATATCTCGATTTTAATAACATATAGTTCTTTTGAATTAAAAATAAATTATCTGCATTAAAAAAAACTTTAGAGTCAAAATACATTTATGCACCGATTGATAAGAATTAAAATCAAGAGAGTGGATTTTAAACTTTGGAGAGTAGACGTATTACCCTCCTTGTCTTTCCAATCAATTTTGTATCTTTTCTTACAAAACTTATAGAGATGACATCGTTGTAATGATTTTAGGAATCATGCATGGGATACAATGTGCACATTGTTGAAAGATATTGAAGCAACCACTAGTTTAGTTCAAATTAGTCTAATCAACAATAAGTTACTATATTGTTGAAAATAGAAAAAAGTAGTCAACATAGCATGAACTATCAAGATAAATATGAGATATAATTAGAATCTATTACACATGTAAAATTAGATTTGATGTATAAATATAGTTCAAGAAGTAGGTGAACACAATTCATCAATAGAAAATATTCCACATGGTATCAAAACTTGGTAGGAAGAAGTCCATCAATTATTGAGAGTACATAGACTAGAACAATCTTGTTACTATATTAAGAGGTTATGTGCCAAGGTTATGATATCACCCATGTGATGTGCAAAGGTTATGATATCAAATTTTACTTACTAAAAATATGCTTTTGTACTTGTTCAAAGCAGTTTCTTGCTCATGTTTGTTACATTTTCATTGCATTGGAGAATGTTGTTGTTTTGAGAAAATGATTGATTGTTCCGCCTAATTGCCTGCCAACTATAGGAGTTGGTTGCCTACTAAGTATTTTCACAAATTGTAAAACATGTTATTGTGTTGGAAGAAGTAGTTGTGGTTTAGCTACAAGAATTTGAAAGCTGATTGGAAATTTTAGAAGTATAACTTGACGGGATGGATCTATATAATGAAAATTGTATTTAATTAGTAGGGATGTGATGACGAGCTTAGCAAAAAAATTGGCTTTATAGTAGTTACAATCTAACCAAACACTAGAAATTAAGCCTCACAATTCCATGTTTCTAACATGATCTAATGATTGGTGTTGGAATTTCACAAAAAGTATAAGAATAGTGTTAGAATTTTATAGAAAGTCTTACAAAGACTTGAAAAATAGAAGAGACAAAACCAAAAGGATATCTCTTTGTAGGTGAAACGAACAAATTGGTTGGCAATATAATTTATCTTGTATAGCAATCATGACAAAATAAGTACTTATCACGAAAAAATTATGGGCAATTGTGGAAGAGAAAAGAAAACCAACAACATTTCATGCTTTGTTTGGAGGGAAATATTATACTATTGTGGCTCTTAAGCATACAAAGAACAAAGTTCATTTGGTGATATTAATGTATGTTTGTGACAAAGTCATGGATATTGTAATAGAAAAACAAGATCTTATTGATACATGGAATATACTTAAGGAGTAATATTAAAATGGCGATCAATAACAAATAGTGTTGATAAAATTTCAATTTTTTGCATTACATTTATATTAAGCATGAGATATTGAAGAATATGTGAGATTGGCAAGGAAGTATAAAAACAAATAGCATTGATAGAAGTGCTTCCAAAAAAAATGAGGGTAAATCTCTTGAATGTCTTATCTAGGAATTATGATATGATGATACAATCTATCAATAATTCAATCCCACTGTCAAGCTTTGATAAGTATATTACATGAATACTAAATGACATAAAACAACTAAACATAAGAGCTTGACATTTAGGAGAGGTCAAAAAAATTAATTGCATTGTAGGTCTAAATCGTGGGTGTTGCCAAATTCAAGAAAATATATTATAAATTGAATGTAGCGGTAGACGAAGAGGAAGAGGATATTCAATGTCAAAAGGACTATTATTTGCTTCATATGTAGTAATTCCAATTATATCACAAGAAAACATTATCATTAGAAAGGACAGAGTATCATAGAAAATGATATCAATATGGTAGTAGGTTCAAAATCTAAAAAATTGAAAGAATTAGGTAAACTTGAGGCATCTCTAGCTAAATTTGAGAATATAAAACAATGATAAATGGACAGTGGGTGTAGCATTCACATGATGGAAGAAAAGAATTTAGTCACAAATATGACAAAAATAGAAAAGATAAATCTTACTATTGATGGTGGTGAATTATATGGAATTGAAAGAAAAGATATCATGGATATATATATTTACATTAATAATTATCTAAATAATATGAATAGGTAGAAATATGTAAAAATAGGTAAAAATAAATAAATATGATAATATCTTATAGAGAAGCTTTTTAGAAGCTTCATAGATGGGGTTTCACCTTTAAACTTGCCTATAGATAATTAGTAGGTTGAACACTTGGCCAACAAGTTAGCCATGTGTTGCTCATATTAATAGCTTATGGTATAAGCTAACCATGTGGCACACTTAAAAAACTTGTCATAGAAGTTAACGTGTCTCGCAAATTGGACACATGATGGAGGTTCTATAGAACATCATTCCATAGATCTTGATTAGACAATATATACATACTTTCATATTTCATTTTGTCATCTCTCTTTGATACATACCTCACTTGTTTATGTATCTTCTTTGAGTTCTTATTCTTGACAAAAGGTGATGTTGATTTAAAAACCAACTATGATGAAATAAAGATCACTAATATTTTGTACTCTCCAACTATTATCAAGAATCTATTATTAGTAAGATGTCTTGCAAATGATAGAAGAACTATTCTTTTCACAAAAACTCGTATATATTCTAGAGAGTGCAAAAAAACTTGAAAATAATTGCAATTAGGTATAGAGACTCAAAAAATAAATTATATAAATTTGGTAATACTATCTTCAAAGAAAACAAAGTCAATTTTGTTTTAGTTAATATTGAAACAAAGAAATCGCATTGTTGTTTTGAATATCAAAATTATGTTAAATTATATCATCTTTTGAAGGCAAATTGAATGAATAAATTACCTAAAATTCAAAATGAAAAACAAATATATAAAGCTTGTTTAGGAGAATGACAACATAGACAAAAATGTCCAAAGACATCCTTTAATAGAAGAACAAAGATGAATCAACTTATTGATGCTCATTTAATGGGATCTATGAGAATAGCATCATTTAATGGGACCTATGAAAATAGCATCATTAAATGGGTGAAGATTTTTTGTTGTATTAATTGACAATAGAAGTAATAGTCGGGTATATTTTCTTAAAACAAACAATAATACTCTTCAAAAATTCAAGCAATTCAATGCAACTATTCTAGATTCAAACATGCACTATTGGAATCAATTTTGATTTTGAAGTATCTCTAATAATTCACACATTTATAATAGTTTATGGTTTTCGTGAATGTATTATGCTCCACACAAACCACCTCGATTCTACATTGTTTGTTCCAGGGCATGCAACCTGACACCTGATGTTGGCAAAATCATTCAGATGCAATTTACAACGATACTTCGATTTCAATACAAGAGTATCCGGTACAAGATTTTGTGCCCCGGTTGAGACTTAGATAGATAACAGGGAAGATATCGCAATTGAGAATTTATCTACTCACGGAAGTATGGTGATCTCAAAAATACATAATACTGGAATGATCTTACGAATGCCACGGCAAGTATGTCATACTCAATCAAATTTTTTAACAAATCGAACTCTACTAGAATGATTCAAGTACGATAATTTCACAAAATTTGGGCTCAAAATACTGCTTTGAAAATGAAAAAGAAAAAGAAAAGCAATATCAAATCTGAATCAGTGTCGCATCCATACAAAAACCACGTCAAAAGTAAGAAAAAGGTAAAAGGCACATGAAATGCAAAATCATTCCAAAAGATAAACCACTTTAAAACTAAAGGCAGTGTCAAACACCACTCTAGACAGATCGATTTGAAGTATACGATTTGATATACAAGCATGTCTACACCAAGAATCAAACAGGGTTGACACATGAATAACTGACATCAAAACTTAAATTAAGTAGACGATGAAATCGTCAATTTACACAAACGACTCCTTTGTGTACGTGTGAACTGACCACGAAACAACTGCTGCACATGCTAGAAACTCAAACTACAGATAAAGCAAGGCTTCCGTCTTAGAGTAATAAATCTAGATATCAATGCAACGGAATCAGCATACGAAGACAAACGTACGATTGGGTGGAGATAGATTTTCAGTACAATTGCGGACGCTGGGGAAGACTGATTTCTGGGTTAATTTGTTAACACGGCAAAACTACACTTGATGAAATTAGCGAGATTTTAGTTTTAATCTTTACCATTCTCGGATACAGGAGAAATACTGCGTTCAAAAGACCGATCCTGAAAACCAGTCCGCAATCAATGTCAGGTGAAATACAATGCAATGACCTTTGACAGGCTCTAGTAATAATCATAGTTTTCACTTGTTTCTATATCCAAAAACAGGCAGGAGCAAGGTTAAGGAATTAGAAAATACGCATAACGAGGACACTAAATGCCTGTAATTACCTCATTATCTCCCTTGGGACTCATACTACCGTTTTTTTCCTCACTGGAGCTTCTTCTTCCATTCGCCTGCATAAAATCGTCGAGACATTTGGTTCACAAGTACTTACTGGTTGAGGTGCTTAACTAACAATCCTTGAGCTAATGCTACGAACACTTCCTAGTGGGAACATTCGTACCATTTTCACTGGAGATTTAGACCGGCTTAAGCGGGGGCTCCGGCTACCTTTCTTCCAAGGTGATCCCTGTCAATGATAAAATTCCAAGTCAGACCATGACACAACAAGATTTTGGGGTACTTCAGCAGTTTAGTATACACTCATTCCGCAATGTTTTAGAAGCCGAGTTAAAAACGAGAGAACACAAAATAGGCCTTCAGTTATGCTCTCAATAACCTGTACAGGCGAAGGTGACAATGACCTGCAGTAAATAACAACACCGCAATGATAGAACCAACATCAGACACAATAAAACAAACTTCGAATAGATCAGCATTTAGTTCGATGTGAGTTCACATACATCAGCCACAACAGGAAAATGCAATTCTCTATTCAATTACGGTAATACTGAGATTCGCGTGACGGAACTTACTTTGAAAGTGATCGCACAGAGAGCGAACGAGAACGGGAACGAGATCGCGAAGGAGACCGTGACCGTGACCGCGACCGTGACCGTGACCCCGACCGTGACCGCGACCGCGACCGCGACCGGGCGGACAGAGGAGTTGGGGAGCGTGGTGAACGAGATCGCGACCGTGGAGATCGGTTACGCGGAGACTTGCTGCGAGAGCGGCTGAACAAAACCCGCCAATACAAAGTTAATTCTCATTGCGAATGCATTGAGGCGGCCTAAGGAACAGGAAAAATTGAACGACACACATACTAAGTTCTCATTCCTAATAGCACAATTGAAAGAGGAGTTAGTATCTCCAACCCGCAATTAAGTAATAGAGGAACCAAACTATACCTGCGGCTACGTGAACGGCTTCGAGTAACACTCCTCCGAGAAGACCCATAACCCTTGTCCTCTTTTACCTGTCAGCGAGACGTAGAATTAACAGTAGCAAAAGGGGCTTCAACGCTTAAAATACTAGTAATAAACAAAGAACACACATATGTAAGCAAAGGACAGATCACCAACCCGAATGAAAGACCGAGAAAATGGGTTCCGAAATTCTGAGTCATCCAACTTCCGGATCTGCAGAACACATAAATTACTGCATGTTTCGAAAATGTTTATCTGTAAGCATGTATTTATGCCTTGTCAGGTCCGGTTCATGGTCGAGCAAATTTACACGTACATCTTTGTCGCAGAATTCAAACTTACAGCGTATTTCATATCATCATAATTCGTGAAGTCCACGATGCCCATTGTTCCCGAAGTGCCATCACGAAAAACTTGTGCAAAGCACACATCACCAGCCCTACGCATGTGATCCTGTACATAGCACCATTTGTAAAAGTAAGTCAGGAACAACTATGTCCATTACCCAAATAAGTAAATAAAAACACGTCTCAACATAGTTAGTGATAAAAAATAAAAATAGAAATCGAAGATGGAAATAGAAGCGGAGTACTACAGAAGCCACTATATATATTCGTATTTAGAAAACGCAAAACTAGTGCATACCTTCAAATCTTGCCACGAGGCAGACGATGGTAATCCGGTCACCGTTACTGCTCAAAGTACATAGTGTCACACGTCAGAATTCTATAAAACAATGATTCTTCCTACGAACTAAATATTTCACATACAGTAATACAAATGCCAATTAAGAAAACTGCGAATCATACCTCTATATTCGGACCGGCGAGAAACCCCTCCTGCACGACCACCACAATCTGCGGCGCTTCCACCTCCACCCCTTCCACCACTACTATAGATGCTATACCGATCCACTGCTGGCGGAGGCCCACGACCACCATGGGCAATTTCAACCTGTGGAGAAAAGTCAATGTAAAATAGAATGAACAAGGTCTAAAAAAGACAACAGGCAAAACATGAAACATTCATTGTTTAGATAAGTAAATAAAATTAAAGACCAGATGACTGCATCAAACGACCATTCAGAGTTGCCCGAAACATAGCATGGAGGGAAAACCGTACTCGCAATCGATTCCCATCAAAGTTGTACCCATCCCGTCCACGAATAGCATCTTCCGCATCCCTTCCGTCTTCGAACTGCGCATGACAAATTATACCATGTTTCTAAGATAGTTCAACATAGAGCTGTTGAATCAGATAATATGAACAGAAAAAAATAAAACAAATAATGGAAACAAAGCGAAAAAAGACCAAAAGAACAGAACAAAACAAAACAAAACAAACAAACAAAAAGGGAAAAAAAAAAAAAAAAAAAAAAAAAAAAAGAAGTTATCCTCATTCGAGACTCTAGAGAGCAGTTACTATACAACATCATGGAAATCAAATAACACGCGAGTAGAATTACCTCAATAAAACAATAACCAGGTGGGCGGGGGGGTAATTTCAGGTCAATGTCCACAATTCGTCCATACTGCATCCACACAATAAGTAGAACAAATGGAAGATATGAGCCATACTAAGTCGACGCCGCTGTTGCAACTTTTAGGTCAGTATTCTGGATACACTACCCGCTACAATGAGTTACAGTACCTTGTAAAATAGATCTTCAATTTCTCGCTCCCTCACATCACCGGGAAGGTTTCCAACATAAATCGTACGACTCGCACGGCTGCTCATCGTGCTGGTTTCGATGGGTTACTCTCCTAACTCAGAGAGGGTAAGACTGGAGAAAACAATCCACCACAACTGGTAAGAGGTAGTTGACACATAGCAGTCTCGCCAGTGATCACAGCAAAAAAGTATGTTACCAACTGACGAAATCAGCGGACACCTGCCAGAGCTGAAAATAGAAAGCTATGAGGCCAACCAAGAGAGACATCTTTGGTCCAAGCGAAGCCCCTCAAGCTCCACCGCTCCCTCCTTAGCTCCGGAAAGCTCCACAGCTATGCACGACTTAGACATGCCAAATATCCCACTGTCTCTCACTCTCGTGCATTGGACACGGATTCATCATACCCATCCCCTCTCCCGGCAGGCCATTAATGCATCCCTTCCCTCATCCCTCAGCGTATCCTTCTATCCCTCGTTCCCTTCCTCCCATCAACATGTCTATAAGGTTCATTATTTACGCTCCCTCCAGCTCCACGCATTCTAGTTCCATAGCTTCTCCACGCTCCACGTAAAAACCTAATTCCAAAAAAGCGAATATCGGCTGTGGAAGTAGAGTGTCGGTCTCCCATTGTACCTTACCTCCCCCTCTTTATCCCGTCCAAACGACTTCCGCCGCCGATGCAGAACAGGGCCTCAACAAGTAGAACTGCAAAAAGCCACACAATCATATTCTGTCTCGAAAGAACAAGGCGCCAATTCGAATACACCACACCCCACTGAAAAAAAATTCCTCTGTAACTACATCGACATCACAAAAACTCTCCACCTCCACCTCCAACTCCAGAGAAAACAAAACAAAAACAAAAACAACAACAATGAAAGCAAATACACCGTCAACTTTTCAACACGGTCACGGAATCCGGATAAAACCTAAACCCTATACACGCTGCGTATGCATACGTACTCCTTTCCCCTCCACGACTCCCACAACAGACACAATTCACCACGACCGGATTATTCAGACTTAGCACTTGGCCCTCACATCATCCACTCTGCTTCTACAAACGTACCGAAACTCGGCTCGGTACCTACAAATCAACGGGACAGCGGTACAGCGCAGCGTGTCAGGACAAGAAGAGTAGAGGTAAGAAACATGAAAAGACGTAGGAGCAGTTCGGGAAGAAAACAATTCACCGGCGTGCCAAATCTAACCGGGCATGCACAATCTGGCGCAACATGCAGCAGGACCAACTGCGTCTCAAGGCCACGAAGGGTGCTTTTCGACCCCTTCGATTCCTCCGTCCGTAAGGGGGAGCTCCCTTCTCAATTTGCAACGAAATGAAGCTTCAAGGATTTTCAGAAGCAGCGACACAGCAAAAGTGCGTGACACACAGCACAAGACGGACCAGCTCTTTGCTCTACTCTAGGGCTCCATGATCTGATCTGACCCTCCACTTGGCTCAGTCCCTTCGATCGGACGATACCAGGGCGCTGTCGCGGAGGGTCGGTTTTAGGAGGCTTCTTCTTAGTCGGTGTTGGGGTGTGCATGGCCCTGTCACCGCACCGGATGAATAATCTGAAAATTTATACGAGTCTGAAAAGCCATCCGCTGATTCTTGTGGATGAAGTGCATCTACGTTTTGATGAATTTCTGACGCACGATGAGCAAGGTCAAAACTTTTCGCATGTGTTCATACACACACATCAAAATTTCAAAAGGTGTTTTGACATTTTGGTGACTGAGAAAATAGGTCAAATTTTTTGTTATATATATATATATATATATATTCCAAAAAATTACTTGCTACATGAAATTGCTTTTACAATAAATTCACCCAAAGTGTCAATTTTTGACATAGAGAGAAATAAATCATTTATGTCATTTGTAATATTAGTCCAAAATGATTTGATAAGTTTATTTTAATGTTATTTATTTTATTCCAATTACAATTGCATATTAGTAGACGAATTTCAATAGCATATATAAAAATAAGCCATGTTCTTTTGTCAAAGGTTGTGTGATTTTATTTGTACAACGTTTTTTCTAGGCCGAATATCACACATGCCCCTGAAGTTTCTAGAAATATCAAAAATCCCCGTCAAGTTTTGACAATATCGAGAGTACCCCTCAACTTTGTGATAATTGCAAATTTGCCCTATGGGCTGATAACTTAGAGTTCAGCGTAACAAGTTCGTCTTCTCCCGTAGTGACCATTTTCAGAACCCATGCGTCTGGGCATTGCAAACCACATCTCACACTTATTAGTCGCTGAGCATCCTCCCTAACAAATTCGGTTGCACACAATGCACACAACCCATGGACTTCTGTATCAAGCACAAGCTTCGCGGTCGACTTGTGAAACGTCTTTGGAAACAGCGCAACAGAGAAGTGATCGATCATGTGGTTCGTTCATGACTGGTAGTCGCTGATAAATTGCAACAACATGTAGTGAAAGCTTCGGACGAGGCGAATGACGGTGATCTTTCCGACAAGAGCAAGACCCAGAGAAATAGCGGGGTTGACATGCCCCTCCGCTGCTAACAGTCACCAGGATCGCAATAGCAAGCCCGTGAGCGATGGCGACCATGAGCAGACCACTTGCTTCCAAGTCACCAGATTCAGTGGCTACTGTGACAATTTTGTTTCAGGAAGTGTTCTGTTTTTGTTTTTTGTTTTGTTTTGTTTTTTGTTTTTGTTTTTTTTTTTTTGTTTTTTTTTTTGTTTTTTTTTCCCTCTCTCTCTCTCTATTGATGTTGTGTGTATATGGGTTGGATGCTTAATTTTTCTAAAGAGAAAAGTTATGAAACTTAAGACGATGGTTTAGAAATAAAAGTGTTCTTGTATCGTATTTTAGTTATAAAATTTTCATCTTACATAAATTTGTATAAAATTTAGAAAATGTTTTAGAATTTATTTTTGATATAACTTAGGAATCTAAGAAAGATGTCACGCAACATTTGAGAATTAAGTAATTTTATTTTACGTTTCTATCCAAAAAAATCACTATGAATTCTTTAAAATTATTAATTAGGAAATTTATAGCTAAAAATACCAATTATTTTTATAATCAACATATAAATGAATGAGTCAAAAAAAAAAAAAAAAAAAAAAAAAACGTCAAATGGAAATATATTTTAAATATTAAAAATTTAAAAAATGAATATGGCAGATAGAATAAATATCAAATTTATGAAAAGAATTAAAATAAATTATTATACATAAATCACTCAAAAGTTTAATTCCTCAAAGTTATAATATATTCCAAATTTTTACAACCTATGTCTTCTATGGTTAGAACTAACAATCTATATCTTCTTGAATTATTCTATTTTTTAAAAAAAACATATATACATATAGACACATTGAAAACTTGCTCGAAGGGCAAAACCCACCTTGAGTCCACGAGGAGCCTCAGATGGCAGAACCTTCGAACTGGGTCTCACCTCCAAACTCGACTAGGCCGATGTCTCAGCCATAAATCAGCACTTAGGCTCTCCTCCCACCAACGTAATCCAAAACCGTGCCGATCATTACAACTACGACACTATATTGAAGCTTGAGAAAGCTTACCAAAACTGCAGAAGAAGTTGACTGGATTGCGATTGCAGTGAACTAGATGCAGAGTGGAATAGATGCAGAGTGGAATAGATGCAGAGGAGCATGCCAAACAAATTTATACTATGTAGCACAGCACTTGAATGCCGGAGACCACCTCGGTGCTCCCTACTACCTAACCGAGATTTCTGGGACTGCATTGGGAGCTGGGGTGGGGGATTCGCACGGTGCTTGGGCACTACGGAAAAGTGCCGTGCCGGGCCCCAGTATAAACTAAAAACAAACATGAAGAGATAAGTTATTAACGCAAAATGTAAATTTGCAACTATAATAAAGTAGGGGCATTTTTGATATTTCTAGAAACTTCAAGGGCATGCGTGATATTTGCCCCTTTTACTATGATTTATTTTAAAGATTCCTTCAAACACTGTCACAGACACTATTCAATTGTAAAAAAAATTGTGACTTTTTTATTCAGAAAAAAAAAAAAAAAAAAAAAAAAAACCAATTAAACACAAAGTTAAAAACAATTTCTATCTAATTCACTTGAATTACTCAATAATAGGCAGCTTAATAGATGTAGTTATAGAAATAATTCAACTTATTCAAAATCATTCAATTTTTTTTTTCTTTTTTCATAGAATATATTCAATATATTTTTCTAAGGCTCCTTTGTTTGATATTGATAATTTTCTTTGGTAACATTATTTTCTACATTATTTGCTGAAGAAAATTCTTTTAATTATTATTGTAATTTACTTAAAACATAATTGAGGTTTTGTAGTTAAACAAAACCAATTTAAACATTACTCAATTATTAATTATTATTACTTGCAGGAAAAATATCATTTGTAACCCTGAAATATGTGAAAATTTCAAGAATACCCAAGTCTTCTTGATAATTGCAAAGTTACCCTTGTTTTAGTTTTAGGTGTATTCGGGGCCCAAACCGCGTGCCGCACACAAGTCGGGCCCCGGCTTTTTAGTGCAAGTCCGGCCTCCCACGAACATGAAGCCGATGCTGCCCCCGCTGCTGCAAACGTTGATACTGATCTGCTCTCCGATCAAGTAATGGAAGGCATGCTAGAAAAAATCAATTTTTGTCATAGTGGTGAACAACCATAGAAGATCATCTATGTCACATTGCGAGCCCAGTGACACATACGAAACTCCCATGTGTCACTGGGCTCGCAATCCAGAGTGCGTCCATAGCTGCATGCAATTGAGGAGGATGGCGGCGCAGAGCTCACGAACAGGGTCGTGACCTTATCACGCAGGAGTCAAGAGGTTAGACTCATGTATACTAACTCTTAGAATTCCCGCAATGCGCCAGGCTGCTGCTGGACAGCCCATTACCCTTTCGTTTGTTCAAGTCTGGATGTATGTTTACTTGGCAAACATGGCATTTTGAAGAGACACAGTAAGCAGACTAAATATCTGGATCTAGAGCAATGCCCACGAAACTTTTATCGATTTAGTGCTCAGTCTCAGCGACGTCTAACACAAACGGAAAGGAACCAGGCGGGTTTCACTTTTCTCCGAGGTGACTGCTGCCGAGTACCTATGCTTTCAGCATAATTCCAACATGAAATACATCTCCAATTCATCCTCTCATCGTGCTGAAATTTGATCGTCTGAGACACTAATGTTAGGAAATCTACATACGAATACTTCGTCCATGCAAAATCATGGCAGAGAGTGATTCTCTGCTCAAAAAGAAAATTGGTTTTGCAAAGCTCTTGTGATGGCTACTCGCTTTTGCAGTGTGCACAGTTCTGTATGACTTCATTGGGCCTGCCGTGCTTGCTTCCGCGGCGTTTGTGGGGGTGTTGAGTTACGCTGGGTTGGCGACACTGTGGCCGTTGTTTGAAAGCACTCCTCATGAGAGTCCAACTTTGAAAAACAAGCCTGCAAATAGCTTGACTCGGATCTACAAGTGGTCGATTCAGCCGATTGTTGACGTTCTGCGGTTAGTCATTGTCCTGATGTCCCAGTTCCCATGAATAGCCCAAATCTGAAACACTTTATCTTAAGTGCACTACGCTTTAGAACTTTAGGTTTTTTTCTTGTTATGAGAGTACGCTTGTGTGTTGCTACGAAAATGTGTCACCTGTTTCATAGCAGAAGAAAAAATTCCAATTTTAATTTTTTTGAAATTATTTGAATGGCTATTTTTTGTAAAGATGGAGCAACCGTGGTGTAACTCAATCACTAGCTGCAAAACTACCAACTGTAGTAGCGATTGTGCTAATCATGGCAGAGAGTGCGTTGGAATCAAGTTTGTCTCCCTGCTGCACTGAAATAGAGCTGATCGTGGAAACTAGAATTTTTTCGATCTTTGATATCAAAGTCCTTGGATCACCTACATACAAGAAAAGAACAAATAAGAGGTTGAGGATGCACACGAGACCCGTTAGGTATAACAATTAAAACCACGAAGTGAAAAATAAAATAAATAAAATAAAATAAAAATGTTCTCCAATTTATGACAAATTCACTTCTACATCGACTCGGGGAGATCTCTCTGCGTCTAGCTTCAACTCTTCAATAATCGACAAATAAACCTGAAATCAACAGACTTAAATTCATACAAAGTTTCAGCAGCACAAGGCATCGATAGTATGATTCATACAATGAAGTTTGTGTTTAAATAATCATCAAGATGTTTCATGACAGAAAAATTCTTCTTCTGTGTATTGAAAGCAAGGCTCATTAAATTGCTCTCAAATTGAGTTTCTTCACTGTGAGAGCATGCGTCCAAACAATCCAACTCGAGATTACCATCTCAAAGAACTTTCACGCAATTGACAGTTGAAACCCTCTGAACAGGTGTAAGTTAATCGCGATC